GGGGCTTAGCCTACGCCTTCAAGGTCCCCCTGGGCCCCTGCAGGTGCTCAGCTCCCTGGGGCAGCCAGCATTGTCCCCTCATCCCCAGGCCCAAGCAGAGGGGCATGCTGCCTGACCTGGCACAAAGTCGTCCCTAGGAGGCGCAGCCACCAGCTTGAAGTTCAAGGGGAGGAAGCAGAGCCAGGCCCACTAGGCCTTTCCAGAAGCTCCTGGAAGTCCCAGTGCTCCTGGGAGGTGGTTTCCTGCTCCTGCCCCACCCCTGGGCCCCTCTGGCCTCTGCTGGCGAGTGGCACCAGATGGCTTGTTGTGGCCGCAGGGACTAGAGCACGGCCCCCTCCTACCCCAACCCCTCCACCAAGGCACTGCTTGCATCTGACAGCAGCCCTCTGCCTCATCCCCTGAGCTGGAGAGAGGGTCTCTGGTAGCATGGGTCTCAGCCAGGGAGAGCGGGCCTCAGAGCCCGCAGAGACATGGGGCTAATTTTAGTACCGGGCGCAAGGCCAAGGCCCCGGTGCTCATGTGGCAACTATGAATTAGTTATGATGCGCATCGTGAATAAGTGATGAGCCCCTTCACCTGGAGGCCGAAGCCTTGCCTTTCTGGAAGGCCTGCTCCCCAGTGGCCCTCTCTGCGGGCTCTGGGCTCCTGTGGCCTAATTGCTGCTGTGCTGGCCCAGGCACAGGGGCGGTGGCTATGTGCCTGGGGGGAGGGGCAGCACCTCCAGAAATGCTGAAGGTGAAGGACGGCTGGGAAGCCAGCTAGTCCAGTAACAACTTGGCTTCTGGGTGAAGAAGCAGAGGCCCAAGGCTTGCCTGACCTCACACAACGTGTGGATGGGAGACACACTCTGGAGGTCTCAGGTTAAACAGGAGCCCTGCCAGGTCACTAAATTCATCGTCGACCTAGCTCACTCACAGGGCTGAACACATCCGGGGTCTGACACGTAGTAGGGGCTCGATAAACAGTAATGAGGGCTTGGTACTTCATAAAGAGTTGGGCTCAGGGGCAGTCGCCCCTGTCCTATAGGCTTGCTGTGAGTCGGCATTCGCTCGGTGAGTCGGGTGTACTTTAAGTGTCATGAGTTAGGTAGCAGGGCCCAGCAATGGCAGGGAGGAGCCCTGGTGGTGCAGTGGGTTGTGCACTGGGCTGTGAACTGCAAGGTCAGCAGTTTGAGACCACCAGTCACTCCTCAGGAGAAGGACGGAGCTTTCTGCTCCCATAGAAAGTGGAAACTCACAGGGACAGTCTTGCCCTGTCCTGTGGGGTCGCTGTGAGCTGGAATGGGCTCCATGACAGAGTTTGTTTTTGTTTTATTTGGGGTGTATGTGCAGACACCTGGTGGCACAGTGGGTTAAGCACAGAGGCTGCTAACCACAAGATCTGAGGTTTATCACCTGTTAGCCATGCGGAGGGAGGGAGGGAGAGGAGGGTCCCGGAAAGATTCAGTCTCAGGAGCCCTATGGAGGGTTACGATCAGACAGACTGTGGGTTGGTTGATATTACTTTAAGTAAGTATCAGTCAGGAGTTACATAAACACACACGGGGAGACTTCTGAACGGCAGGACCAAGAGCTAGCTCAAAACCCGGTTGCCAGCAGATCAGGCAGTCTTAAGAGCACAGGGAAGCATTTCTCTGGAAGCCTCTGCTTTCTTGGGGGGACGTGCCCCCCTCCCAACCAACCCAACTCACCGAGACCCTATAGAACTGCCCCTGTGAGTTTCCAAGACTAATTCTTTATGGAGTAGAAAGCCCCATCTTTCTCCTGAGGAGCAGCTGGGGCTTCGAACTGCTGACCCGTGGATCGCAGCCCAACACATAACAACTGCGCCACCAACTCCTGCCACCATCTTGGGAGCCAATAAAACAGTGGTTCTCAACCTTCCTAATGCTGCAACCCTTTCATACCATTCCTCATGTGCTGGTGACCCCCCACACCCATAAAATCATTTTCATTGCTAGGTTATCACTGTCATTTTGCTATTGTTATGAATTGGGAAGCCCCTGTGAAAGGGTCATGACCCAAAGGTTGAGAACAGCTACAATACAGGAAGCCAGGAAGAGCCAGGGTAGCACCCCAACAACCAGGAACGTGGCGGCTTCTTTGGGGACAGCCCACAGTGCTCTGCAGGAGGGGAGGAAAGGGTCCCAGCTAATGAGGCCACCAGCTCTCAACCCCAAACACCCCCAGGGCCACAGGCGAGCACGCTGTGACTCGGAGTCGCCCTAAAGGCATGCTGTGTGAGTACTCTGCTTCCCGTGCAGCCCGCTGCTTCCATCCGAACACGTATCTCAGCTAGCCGACTCCTGAGGCATTTGGACAGCCTCAAGAGTTAGGGCACACGCGTGAAGCGGGTAAGCAGTTGTGTCAGGAGTTTTTCTGGTAAAAATAAATGGCATGACAGTGGAAGCCAAAGGGGTGAAAAAGTGGGTGCAATCTGATTTTATGGCTAAAAGAAGCTTTGTTTGTCATGAAGTGTTTTAATAAAAATAGCAGCTAAAGCTAAGAGGTGAGGAAGGGAGTGGGACTGGTAGGCTCTGACCGCCTCTCTAAGCCCTGCCCTTGGCGGCAATGCTGGGAGGCGCAGCTGGTGGCTTCTCTGGTATACAGTGGTCAGAAGTAAAAGAACCCAATTCACACTCATTCAAATGTGGAAACACCGGGTGGAGTTCCCGGGGGCCCTGTCCTCTGCTGGGAGCCCTCCCTGGTGGCACAGTGGTTACTGTGCTTAGAAGCAACCGGGAGGACGGTGGCCTGAACCCAGCCAGCCACCTCTGCTGAGCCTGGTGTCACAGTGGCCACAGGCTGGGCTGCCAATGACCCAAAGTCAGCAGTTTGAAACTGCCAGCTGCTCCGTGGGAGAAAGAGGACGGGGCTTTCTATTCCCATCAATAATGATCAATATTGATCAATAATGAACCTCACGGGGCAGTCTTACCCTGTCCTGCAGGGTCGCTACGAGTCAGCACTGACTCCTTGGCAGGGAGTTTGGTCTGATGTGGAGCCACTTCCGAGGAGGCAGGTGTACCCATCCATCAAGATGACAGCCCTGGGGAACCCTAGGGGTGGCTCCACTGCGTCCTACACCGTTGTTGTGAGGTGGAGTCTGGGTTTGACATGGTTGGGTTCTCTGGCTCGGCAGCGGCATCTCCTGTTACAGGTATGTCTCCAGAAGCCAAAAGCAGGAGCCCCCGTGGAAACTAGCAAACCTCTCCTTGCTTGCAAGGAGGCTGCCACACAAACCAATGTGCATGTCTGTTGTAAGGGGGTCGGCGAGGCCCCTCTCAATTAGACGGTCCTGAGAAAACGGCGGTGCAGATCTACGTTCAGTTTTAAAAGCAGGCTACAAGCTGTACAGAGATGACCACGTTTCTGTACACGCAAGGCCAGAGGAAAGCTAGGAGGACACACCAAATGTTAAAAGCATGACGGTGGAGTGTGGGAGATTCTTTTATTCTATTTTGGTTCAATGTAAAACTTCTTTAATCCCCTTCCATCATCAGAGGATTTTCTGCTCTGACCGTTTTGTGTTCTGTGTCCACTGTGTTCTCAAAGCCCTTGTGTCTGTAACTTAAAAGCGACCTTGTATCGGGATTCGAGGCCGTAAACCATTTTAGGCGCAGTCAGTCTCATCTTTCTCCCCAGGAGTGGCTGGTGGGTATGAACTGCCAACCTTGCAGTGAGCAGTCCAATGCCTAACCCATGGTGCCCCAGAGCCTGCCTTTCCCTAATGGAAGGCACGCTGAAACCAAGACAAAAAGTGTTTTAGGTAATGGAGTTCGTTTGATACAACAGTGTAGGACACACATATCCCATGTGGACTCTCTAGGTAGAGTTGGGGGGGGGCCTGTTTTTTACCCCCCTCCCCGGATAAGTGCAGTTACACAGGCCCCATCAGGGGGCAAAGCCTGCTTCAACTGGGACAACAGCTTCCAAAGAAATCCAAGCAGCTGAAAATGCGGGTGGAAAAGGCACGCCCCATGGGTCATGGAAAGATTAATCAGCGTATATTACTTTATAGTCAGAAGTATACAATGATTTTCCTTCAGAAAGACAGTCACTACAGATGCACCAGGGCAGCGGTTCTCAAACTGTGGGTCACGACCCCTTTGGGGGTCAAAAGACCCTTTCACAGGGGTTGCCCGATTCATCACAGTAGCAAAATGACAGTGATGAAGTAGCAACAGAAATAACGTTATGGCTGGGCAGTCACCACCACATGAGGAGCTGTGTGAAAGGGTTAAGGTGTTAGGAAGGTTGAGAACCACTGTGCTAGGGGATGGTGGTGTCATGCTTTAGTCAGGCTGGTCCCCATCCCCGAGCAACAGCCACGGGAAGACGGTATTATACCCTTCAGCGCCCCAAGATGTGCAGAGGATGACTATGAAGAAGGGACAGACAGCCACTTCCTCCCCCACTGCCTTCCTGGAACCCGCTGACATCATAAGTCCTAGAGACTGCCCCCACCCTGAGTCCTGCCAACGCTGCAGGCCACTTCCTTCTGGAACAGTGTGCAGTGCAATGCTGCTTGTCATGGATCAGATTCGAGCGAAGCAATTAGACGTGGAAACATGATGCTCGGCCGTCTGAGCTGGAAGCTGGAGCCACGACCATGCTCGCTGCAGTCTGATGAGCTCATCCTCTAGGAGGCCCTGCTTGGTTGCTCTCAGGACCAGGTCACAAGTCTGGGGCAGCTCGGTGTGGATGCTGCCTGTATTTCAAGTGGTCTCCGGCCAAGCACCT